TCCCCCCCCCCCCCCCCTCCAAAGGTTTAGACCACTGCAAAAGTTCTGAAAAAACTGAACGTTTATTTAAACTCTATACATAAATATTTCAGTTCGATCTAACAACATTAGACGACTTAAAAATGCCTTTTTGTGGTTGTAACTTTTCTTCAAACGTTGTTCTAAAATACGTGAAATAGCGTTCTAATGAATCTAGAAATTCAAAAATTTCCTCGCGCCTACGGCGCTTGCATTCGAAATCCATAAAAATTTTGCACCCCCCCTTCCAAAAGTTTAGACCACTGCAAAAGTTCTGAAAAACTGAACGTTTATTTAAACTCTTGGGATACTATCCCCGTCTTACCGTCTATGCGCTTTAAATAGTTGGCTTTTCTTACCAAACACAAATACTACAAAAGTCGGTCCCAGAACATAGGACACCCCCCCAAATTTTTTTCGAATGTGCGCCCCTGACTGGACTTATACCATGCAGGTTGTTATTATGCCGGGGGTCTTTCATTGAAATGTCAGAAAAACAATTGAAACACTGTTTATAATTCCTCTTAAGCAAATTTTAACAATGGATTAATATGAAAATATTGTATAAATATTCAGTATTTCAATCGGAATGTTTTATTCCGGTCGATGCTACAAGTCAAGGTATGTTTTTACAGAATTGTAGAACGTTTCATATTATAATGTATTAAAAATAGAGTAGCATTATTATTGATTGCCTAAATAAAGGTGGTATTAAAATATCTCAAAAAATATAATTGCAAACTTAATAATAGTTAAGCTGAAATTATTGATGTTGATATTATCTTAATCTCTAGCTGTCCATATTCTAGGCCTATAAACGTAGTAACTGCCTTGCATGAATTCATGGAATTTTAGTGAGCTAATGTGAAGGACCATGCACATCAATTGATCTATGTACCATTTAAAACACGAGTAGAAGTGTTTTATCCTATGAAAAACCGTGGCCCAGCCGAGCGTTTTATTTCTGATAAAGAACGACAACCAGTGTTTTGAATAGCTTAAAATACGACTATACAAAAGAATACTTGTTATAGTATGAACAATTATATAATCATACAATTAGGATGAACAATTATATAAAGAATACTAATGAAGATGATTTTTATCAGATATAAAGTGAATCACGCCACAAGTTTTATGAGTTATTAATGAGTATTTAATTATATACTGTAGATTAATTTCGAATTTCGAGGCTACATGACAAGGTTTCATAAATGATGCAATGATATAATTTTATAAATAACTGATTTCTGGGGTTTAAGCGTTTGATATACTACACGGCATAGCGGACTTGTACCAGGTATGCCTATTCAACAGGTTTTTGTTATTGAAATATCAGAAAATCAATAAACACTCTTTACAGTTCCTGCTGAAAACGTTTTTAACAATTGGTGAATATGAAAATACCAACAGAAACTATCATGAATGTAATATTACATTTTGCTATCTAGTACATGCCTATACACAAGTAATAAAAAGGGAATGGGAAGTTTCGAACAGAGACTATGATATATTTTGTCGATGTTTAATTCTGTCTTGGATTTGAAAAAAAACATTTGTTGTATATTCTATAGCATATACTTACGGTCAGAATAAGCCGGAAAATTCCTTGTCTATATCCATGCTTATTTTTCTTGATATTATGGCTCTCATTAAAGACCAAAATATACGATTTGATATAGTGCCTAATTATTAAATTGCTTTTGTTTTAAGAAAAAAATCGAGTATGCAGCTGCTCTAGAATTCGCTCGCTAAAGTTTTTGATCCCTCAAAGGGTGTTATTTTAACCCTATTGATTCTCACTTTGCACTTTGTAAATCAAAACTAGAGAATTGTGTTACCATGCTTGCCACTATATACATGCCACAACGAACGCAACGCATCTACATCCTCACACTGTAAAACAAATAAATTACAACCTTGCAACGTATTGTTTTTCCCAGATTCATTCATTTAATTGTGAAATAAGCAAGCAATGTGTTGATAATATTGCAGCTGTTGCTTGAGTTGTAAAATTAAGATTTTCGATCTATATATGCATCGGAAAAAGATTTTTACTTGTCTAAGGATACAAATATCCTTAGACAAGTAAAAATCTTTTTCCGATGCATATATATATATATATATATATATATATAGATCGAAAATCTTAATTTTAATAAAAATCTGGCATGCATATATAGAAAATCTTAATTTTTTATAAATAACCAAAACTTCTGCAAAATCTTCAATATTCTACATCTTGGTTTACCGATAGTCAAGGTCAACATTGTCTATTTTTTCATTAATTAAGCTTCACCTTTTTAATCTAGTGGATTTGCAACAACAACCATGCAGACCATACGTGTTTATCTTTTGGCGTCACTTGCTTCCAGCTACTTGCTGTTTTCCGTTAACACGCAGGGTTACAATGCGTTCGATAACGACATAAACAGCTGTCTTTTTAACGGTTGGAAGACGGGTAGAAACGCTGTTCTCAATGCAAAAATGGATTGTCAAGATCGCTCACATTCTGGCCTTTGCTATGGTTTGGCGAAAGGTAAAGCTGCATTCGCTGTTTGTTACAACCAAAATACTCTCATCCCTGAATTTACCGGGCACGTGATAGTTCCATCTGGTAGAAATCAACAAGTCGCAGTGGGAGGAAGAGACACATTTAGAAACGAGGCAGGACGTTTCGGTAAGTTGTTCACATCAGTATGACGTTTTGATTTTGTGATAATCTCGTCACTTGACGACTTACAGATTACTGCGCGAGGTGAGTTTGGGAAACTTCGGCCTCCCTCAGTGCATTAATCCCAAACGAACCTCCTGGCAAGTATATGTTTGTTATAAAACAAATAACATCTCTTCTTTTTATTTCGTTGAAGTAAAATATAAAAATTCGTTTTACAGCTCATGGTATGAATTGACTGTCCCATGCATATAGTTTCAAAAGCTTGGCTTATTTGACTCCTAGGCTTGGTAGTTGGCCATATTAAGATAAATGATATACCCACCCACTACCCACTTTTGAAACCCTTAGCAGCCTTCTTTTTCTTGTGTGTAAATAAGCGAGCGTATATGCATACCCTTGCCTCGGGCTTTGCGCTGTTTGCTCGGAGTATACAGCCTAGACGGCTGTGAAACTCGTTAGAATAACTAAAAAATGGATGCATGCAGAAACCCAGCTATCTCCCCTTGCTGACAAAACCATTGTATTTTCCGAACTTGGTGTATTTAATCTAGTTGTCATGGAAACACATTAATTTTATTAAGAATATTTTTACAAATAAAACATTCCCCAAAGAATATCACTTTTTATAGACCTTTAACCTTATAGCAAATCGGGCCGCCATTTTGTAATTGTAATTTAAATTCTACGTGGTGGCAGAATTCACTAATTTTCACTTGTTTACGTATGCCAAATCGCAGTCTAAGAACGTAATTTTGACGAGGTTTGTTCTAACGATATTTATGAAAGAAATGAGCAAAAAGGCTGCAGTGATCGCCGAGAAAATGCACTTTATATCGATCGAAGCGGTAAACACATTTCGAGCAAAGCATTCTCTCGACAAAGCATTCTCTTGATTACTTATACTAATCATGCGATGGCGAGTACAATTAGGGATTAATAGTACGAGTGATGTTTGGAAATTTTGCCAAAATTGGACGAGCCGCCGGGGCGAGTCCAATTTGTCAAACTTCCAAACGTCACGAGTACTATTAATCCCTAATAGTACGGGCAACATCGCATGATTAGTTGTCTATCATTAGCATGACAAAATTGGATGCTACTCAATGTCAGCATCATA